ATCCCTATCTTCAGAATGATCTAAGTTCTCGAAAGTCGCTTGGCGGCGCTCGTGTTCTAATTATGATTTAAATTCAAATTGATTTCTTCTTCTGATTGCGACATATATATAAATATAGGTTTTTTTTTTCGATTCTTTATTATTTTTTTTATATTTTTACGTGGTCGGAGTCGTGGGCAAAAGCGATAAAATAATGATTGTGTCCCAGGTCTGGTGATCGACGGCAGCGTGTCGTTCCCGTTCAACGACGGCACGCAGGCGGAGCTCGCGCTGCACGCCGAGGACGCGCTGCTCACAGTGCACATGGACGACGCATTGCCCTACTGACTGCCCTACCGACTGCCCTACTGATTGCCCACACCCATTAGGGGGAGACTTGTCACAAATAAATGACAATATAACTTGTAGGGAGTCAAGAAGGTGCATGCGGTTAGACCGTGTGCGCCTTCGTGCGATTCGGCCCATATGACCTGAGGGTCGGTGGGGCCGTGGGTGGTGGTGGGTTTTCGTATGACTGCATTACTGACTACCCTACTGACTGCCCTACTGACTGCCACACATACATACGTTTTTAAACAAAATTTATTGATATGAAATGTTTTGTTTTTTAACTTTTTCATTATAATATGTAAAGTGGCTAATGTAATTTATACATAGGTTTGGGCCTTTTTTGTAGACGTTGCAAAATATGCAAGCTGTTAATGTAATGCCGAAATATTGAAGCGACAGATGACTCTAAGGCCATCTAGGAGGAGGTCTAAACCTCCCGTATTGTAAGAATACATTTTCCCTACTCCCCCACTTCCCCTCCCTATTCTTATTAATGGTGGGAAGGGGAAAGGGACTATATTAGGCCTAAAATTCTTCTAATTGCCATATACCCCTTTTAAGTGCTTAACTAGAGAAGAAAAAGAAGAGGAACGCACTTAGTGACCATTTAGTGACTCTGAATATGGCATTAAATCATTTACCTCTTGTAATTATAAATAGGTTTACCTGACACTGGACTGGAAAAACCATACATCCGTATATCCATACATTATCCATACATTGAAAGATCAAAGATTGAATAGGGCTTTACTGCCAGTGATTTTGTACTAATGGAAGAAAATACGGATTTTCTTTGAACTTTGTAATCGTTTATATTGTTTATGATATTAATAGCTTATTTGTATGAAGTTTTATAATATGCTTTTGACAAATAAATGCACACTGTTTCTTCAAGCAAATATACAACGACAGCTGCACTGTGCCCACAAGATTCTTTATATTAAGTATCGCAAAGAAATCTCTGCAAATTCATTTTTTTATGTATTTCAATTATTTTATAAAATAACTATTGAGGTGTTATATCTTATTTATTATATTTTAATATATATATTTTAATATTTTAAAATCCTCAATAATTCTTAATATTAAGGAATATTTATTATATTATTTGGTAGTAATTAATGTAATATTCCGTTTTTTTTTAGAATAAGACTGAAATTAGAAAATAAGTGCAATGCCTTATTAGTGATTTTTTTTAAAGTAAAAAAAAAATTAGTAGATGTTTGAACATTTACAGCCTTACAAATAAACGCGGGATAAAGTTAAACTTAAGAATAAACTAAGTATAAGCAAATATTAGTACACTAGTTGTTCCCGTGCGACTTCATCCGCATAAAATTATGAACATTTTATTTTATGTTTACATGTGTCAAATTATCAATTGCAAATGTCAAAATGACATGACATGATGACAAACCATAGCTACCTTGCTTCCTCGATGTTGGCAGCAACTTATGCTCTCTTTCACACATTAAAGTTTTTATCCAAAATATTTATCCCCTAAGTTTAATGGCGTGAATATATATAGCCTAAAGCGTGACGTAAGTGTAGGGCTTTTTATTGAAAGAAGAAATATTGAAATATATGCTGCAATTGCTGACATCTTTGGCAACAAAGAAGTGTGTGTTTACACTTTATTATAATAGTATAGATTGTTTATACTTAGTTTATTCCTAAGTTACAAGTTATTTGTAAGGCTGCATGTTTTTGTCTCTTATTTTCGAGGTAATAAAGGAAAAGGAGGGGTGTAAAGATAATGATTTTTGGGATAATATCGAGAAAGGTATTGCACGAGTATTGCTTGATATAGGATTATTAAATAAGGATATATGATTTATTGTAACTAAAGACTTGAGGGTCTAACACGAATATTTTAACATATTCGTGACGTCATCATTTTTTTATTAATGGCTTGTAATTTAAGGCAAATTTTATTAATAAAATAAATTAATAATTTGGTTAAATTTCCTTAATGTTTATTTGCAAAAATGCGTCTTCCAATATTAATAATCACATTTATTAAAAATAAACACTAGTATTCCCTTTTACATGTAGATATATATAGGTCATTTATAGGTACCTGCGTTATGTAGCTTAATTATATAAAAGTCTATTTAAAATAAGTATAATTTGTTTTAAGTTTAAAATCTTCCCATTTATTTAAGTGCATTTATAAATTGCAACAAATATATCGTTTAAGTTAGTTTTACTAAATATGTCACAATTAAATAAGTAACTTTTTTTGCTATTTAATATCTCCATACATCTTTATGTATTTTAATGTCCATAGAATCTGTTCCTATATAAAATCTGTTGTAACTATATAATTAAAAATATAATAATTTTGTGCTTAAAATTATATCAAAAAAAATTGATTATGTTAAGTAATAAGTTTTGTACTTTTTATATATTGTGGGATAAAGAGAATTAGGAATTGTTAATCTGCAAACAAAGATATTCAAACTTGTATAGACGAGGCATGTATTTTTTCACCGGTACCTTCTCTGAAAGGTACTATATCAATTGTCAAGTTTCATATCACCTCTAGTCCTTGTATTGACATGTAAAAAACATTTTACCAAGTTATAATAAGCGCCAACTTTTGATATAAAATAAACTAGACAGTGTTACAAAGTAAAATATAAACATTTGAATATTATTGAATGACTATTATTGGCAAATAATTTGTATACAATTACAATTTGGCGTTAGTGACGATTATGTGAAAAATGTCTCAAGTGAAGTGTCACTCTCTTTGTCAGCAAATAATTAAAACCAGTTGTACTATTTAACAATAAAATCGTCGATTTTACAATATTTTTACGTTGTCGCAGCTATTTATCTAATTTGTTAATGGTTTTAATTTTCTGTTAGGTGATTGAAATATATTGATGAATATCATGTTTTTTTTCTTTCCCATTTCTATTTCTTTGTTCGCTTTACGCGGTATTAGAGAAAACTTTATAGTCTATGTCTATGATAACCTAGGTTTCCAGTTGTTGAAAGTAATTTTTAAATCGGTCGAGTTGTTTTTGAGTTTATTCTTTACATACAAAAATACAGACCCTACTTCATAGCATAATTAGTTAATCGAAACCGGCCGCGTAAAATAAAAAAAATAGAAAAAAAAACACGGCCTATGTTATTCACTGATAACGTAGCCTTTTAATGGTGAAAGAATTTTCAAAATCGACTCAAGTCAAAAAGTTTTTGAGTTATACGTAACAATATAGCCTTTTGTTCTGAAATTAGATATATGTTATGTATAAAGAGGTGAGTTATAGTATGTCCCTAATTGCAGCGGCCTCCAAATTCATGCACTACATACAAAAATACAAATCTTTCCTCTATATTTGAGTACTGATCATTTTTAGCATAGTGGACACACGATGTTGCCCGCAAGAATAATAAATATTTGCCATGTAAATGTTGCTAGTTTCGTCAAAATCTGTTTTTCAGGTATATTAAAATGAAACAAATAATTTTCGAAGTCAGTATATTTGTTAAAAAAAAATTCGTACACAGTTTAAACATTCGATATCGTTCCAGAACCCCATTGTATTAAGAAACTATTAAAAATGTAGTTAGTTGAACTAAAAAATACAACAATGGAGTAATTATGAAACAAATATCGAGATTCGTTGTTACAGGAATATAAAGCAATGTAAATTTACCTTAACAATAAGCCCAGATACATTATAGCACCGATATTGGACGGAATGGCAGTACACCGTTTATCCTACAGTAAAAATATACCTTAAAAATATGGCATCCATGAAATTTATCTACTGCAATAAGGCTCCACAGAGTAAATTACGTTCAGAATAACCGCAGAATTTCACTGCACACTCATATTAATACATATTCTCATTAAGAAAACACACTAAAATATGTCACAAATATCGCGTCAATGAAATTATACAGTAAAATTTTTTTTAATTTTTAGGTATTTTCTACAAATGACATGAGTTATGATTGACTATTCTATTTTTTATTACTCTATGAATAAGTGGAAGTGACCGCAAACCGTTTAAAGAAACCAGTTCCCGCCACCGTGCGAAGTTGTCTATGGCCCATTTGTAAAATATTAAAATTATTAATTTCCGACTAAAAAAATCTAGTATAAATATCATGTATCAGTATTACCTTAAAATTATTTTATAGAAAACTAAAATACTTACACTGTTATATTGCACTAATACTATAGTGTAAATATTTTAGTTTCTTTGCGGGCCTTGTATTTTAGTAAAAAAAAAATAAGGCAGCTATTTTTGTTTATCACTAATAATTCTTGTATCTATTACGTAACGCAAGGCAACCTTTTCTAATTATTTTAGGTTAATTAAAAAAAATCGTACAAGGACGGATATATGCGATCTACCATTTATCACAAAAATTATAAATATTAAATGTTTATTATATCATGGTATTAAGCCTTAAAATAAACTATTGGTAAATCACTAAGTACTTATAATATGACTGAATCGTTGTTATCGAACACAACAATTTTATGAACTTAATGTAATTCGAATTATATTTTCCGTAGCACATACAAAAAACTCACTAACCACATTCCAAATCACACGTGATATCTATTGTCTCATCTTCTCTATGAAAAAATGTTGAGATAGCAATATATTTTTGTTCGTATTTTCGGCAGTTAAATCTCGTAGACTATCATCCTAATAATGGAATTTGCCGAATTTCATCGTTCCAAATTCAAAAATTCAAACGGAAAAAATAAATATCAATTGGAATAAGAATACAATTTCCTACAAAACATTATTAAAGCCCCATTTTGACAGCTGTCATCAATCCATTTCGAAAATCGATTTTCAATATTCCTAAATCGATTAACATTGTGTTAAGCTGTCAAAAGAGAACTTTGTATAGTTTTGATAGAACTAATAATATCACACGATAATCTAATTCGATGTTTTATTTAACTTGTATGCGAGTAGCCGGTGTTTGTATAAGGGCCGCTGTAGAGGGAGCTGCCGGTGCGAGAGTACGTCTTGGGGTTGCGCCGACGCGCGAGTATGAACGCAATGGCGGCGATCACGCAGATCATAAGAATGACGCCAGCGATGCAAATGCCGATCGCAAAGTTGCGTTGCGATATGCAGATCTCGTCTTCTTTCTGTAAACGTAAAAGTTAAAATATGATATTGTATTCTGCTAAAGTCAATAAATTTGCGAGGAAAACTTTACAAAACTATTCCATCGTATCGATTGAGAACATGATCCAATTTCTATAAGGTTAAGGGTACTCGGCAAATTCAACAAGGTAAAATCTATTTCATGTCAACTGCAGTTTTCTTTCGCGACTGACAATCGCCTAAAGACCTATTTTTTTTATCTTTGTTACTGCATATTTCAGCACCCGTTTGTCTGATTTTCAAAATTGTTTTAGATGCTATTAAATACCTTTTCGCTGGTGACTTCATCATTTTCCGGCGAGTCCGCCTCGTTGACGTACAGTCCGGAGAACACCTCGACAGTGGCGGGCGCGCCCTCTTCCGACTGACGACGCAAACGCTTGCCCTTCTTGTGAGCACACGGTTTCTGAAAAAAAATATTTGTATCACCAAGGTTAGAGGCTATACTAGGCTTCATCTTCAAAACAAAAGTACTTAGAATTAATCTATATCTATACTAATGTTATAGAGAGGAACGATTTGTATGTATTTAAATAACTCAAACACTGGGCCGGTTTAAATGCTTAAAGAGCTACGATATCGCTGAGTAACATAGGCTATATTTTTTTACAATTTTCAATTTCGCGTTGACAAATTCGCGAGCAACTCAACTAGTAATGGTAATAATTTACTCTAGACTAAATGTCTATAGTTCTACGAAAGCTTTATTTGCGATAACACATTTATGCTACCGATACATGTAGCGAGTTCATTTTAATACTAAAAATCTTAGTGACATCGAACGTGTTAAATATAGTCAGTATATACTCACGCAGTCTGTGGGGTGGTTGAGGTCGCAAAGTTTGACCTCGCACGTGTAGTAGACGCTGGCCGTGTAGGGGAACTTGTGCGCGGGGAATGACACGCGCGCCTCCTGCCGCTCGCGCGAATACTGGAACTGGCCCATTATCTCTCCATCCAGCGGACAACTGGAATTATAGAGAAGTCTTTAGTTCACCTATGCTTATATTATAAAGAGGAAAGATTTGTATTTTTGTATGTATTGAAATAACTCAAAAACTTTCAGATTTAAAAAAAATCTTTTACCATTAAAAAGCTACGTTATCGCTAAATAACATAGGCTATGATTTTTACTATTTTTTAGTTTCACGGGTATCTGATATGCTAGTTACTTTCTTGTGTTCTTTTTTATTCCAAGCAGATAGAGTCTAGAAAAGAAATAAAATAGTAAATTTACAAACCTTAGTTATTTCACCAAATTCGAGGCCACTTCTCCGGTTAAGATGCCTTACGATTAACTCTATTGCCTTGCGATTCACAAAAAAATTTGTCACGATTAAACAAATCCGTCGTATCTCACCCGTCGTCAGTGATGAGATTCTGCTCGGCCCAGCCCAGTCCGTCGCGCACCGCGCACTCCGACACCAGCAGCCCGAAGCGACGCTGCTTCTCCAGCGACACCAACAGCGTCAGCGTGTCGCCAATGCGCACGTTAGACGCCACCTGTATACATTAAACCTCTTAACATTATTTCATATATGCTGTCAATAAGGTCGAAATGATGCGCATGCTACGGCTCATAACAGTAGACTGTAAAAAAATCAAAACACAACCAAGATAAAATAAGTTGAAGAAAAATGGATGTGTAATCTGGTTGAATCACTATTATAACGTAAGGTATGCCACAAATCGACACTGTCACATCATTGTGTCAACTGACTGTTTTCAGTACAGTGGGTAGTTATGAAAAATTAGTCCATTTTCGTGAACGTGGAAATTTAAATCCTAATTGTCTAATAACCTACACACAAGGTTGTTTTGCAGTTGGTGTTGCAATATTTAAATGTCAAATTTTATTTTTAAATTTTTTTTACCTCATTGTCCTCAGGGTCTCCTTTGTAAATCTTCATAGTGACCGACGGCAGTAGACCCGAGTCTTCGTCAAACTCTTCGCTGAAATTATAAATTTAAGACTTACATTGATTTAATCAAAGAATACTAAGTCGTATTCGGTAGATATAATATGTGTTGTGTGTCGTATGTGTCGTATTACATAGGAATAAATTCAAGAAGCAAGAACAAACTGTTTTGTCTTAAAGTAGGAAGTAAACCGCAAAGCGTATGTTAGCGGTCTACTCCGACCTTAACCCAGTTAAAACCTTAACCTACTCAGCTCGTATTTTTAGATTTGTTTAATACACATTGACGGAAATTCCTTTTTATTCTACTGATATAACTCTCTTCAGTTACACTCGTGGATTCTTACCAAGGGAGTTTCCGTGAATCAAATTTCACATAACTCTGATTTTCCCGCACTAGAGTCAAATCTTTTGTCGATTTCATCCGATACATAAAAAGGTCCGCGCGAAATGAGTATTCTCTGCTTCCAGGTTACTCCTTGTTTTGTTATTAATAGAGCGTGCTAGCGTGCCTTTGACTAAACTATCACTCAACTATTCAGTCTCGCTTCGATTTCTATGAGCTTATATAAAGGAGTGCACTCTGTGGCATTTTACTTGTGCAACTAAACGGTTGAATTGGCTGCGAAACAATTGATAGTCGCACAACTGTTGTGCACGTAGTCAAAGGTGTGTGCCTACTTTTACTGTTTTTGGTTACCTATTGTACCCATCTCTAGGCTGCGTGAGTCTGTCAGCGTGAGGTCGATGCAGATGGAACATGGTGAGGTCGCGGCGGCGGTATCGGCAGCGCACGTGGTAACCGCGCCCCTGGCCTGTCACCAGCCGCAGGTGGGGCTGCACTATTATGTTGTTGTAGTACTCCACTGTGCCGTCCTCCTGTAAAAAAGAAATAAATTAGCCCATAACTTTACGTATATTCGTAACGTATAACATACGATATTCAATTGTTTATAGGATTTGTAAATCAATAGTGTCTTTAGTCTCTTCAATAAAAGGATAGCTTGGCCACGCTTGCCTCGACGAGGCAATCGATATTTCGCGGGATCTCAGATAACATTTTCAAATTATTAAAAATTTACTTTACTGTAAGTCGGAGTGGCAAAATCATCTAATATTTTTAGACAAAGTTATCTAAATCTAAATAAGAATTACAGATATTATTATTTAAAGCACTTCATGAAACTACGTAAATACGTCGATGAAGGAGAAAAGACGAATTCGTATTCATATTGATGATTCAAACTTTACATTTTAAATGTCATGGACTTGAATTAAAATATGGTAACGGGAAACAAGTAACATTTAACATACGTATTAAAAAAATGTATTATATTTTATATTACATGTGAACGCAAGTTTCATTTGTTTTCTGTAAAACGTGATTCTTACCGACAAAATAAAATAAAACGCAGAGATATTGTAACATATATCAAAAGTATACGTCTTTGGAATGTATTCTTATTGGACAAAAATTGACTTTGATGGATGGATATTTGTTACTACTTTACACAACGGCTACACGGATCTTGATAAAATTTTCCACAGAATTAGAACATAGGCTACTTACTAAGTTTTATTTATTTTGGGCGGACAGTGTCGTGGACGGCTTTAAAATATTAAAAAGCATAAATAAATTCGGATTACAATAATTAAAACAAATGTTAAATGCGTTATCTTTAACGAGTTTTTTACCAGTTATAAAAAATACAGGCACTACAATTTCTTGCAACAATTATTTCTCTTAATCAGAAGTAATTGCAGACTGTAACGATGATTTTAAGCCATAAACATCCTTGTAAATTATGAATAAATATCAAGTTTAAAGTTTTCTATTAACAAACTGGTACAGGTATAACGACATGGTAAATCATGTTGCAGTATGTAATTGCTATATATTCACGTAAAGTACTCTACATACAATATTCATAGTATTAAATGCAAATTTTTAGTTTTATTTCTAACAAGATTACGCACTAAAGATTACAATCTCCATACATATTAAAAAGTTTATAGAATAGTTTGAATTTAAACTTGGGTAAAACTTTAACCTATGTAAAAATATGTATTGCTAAGTAACCTATCGTTTAGTAAATAAGTAAAGGGAAATTACATTAAGTAACTATTGTTTGATATCGCCGCATTAAGTAATCAATAGATAATTCAATGAAATAAACCGTCACTTGCTCACTATTTGTAATTCAACACATTCTACGTCCTTTCCTTTTTAAGCCTACGTGTCGGGGTGTCCCGCGGGCGGGAAGTGACGTCACCTCCCCTCATTGTTCCGGTGCATGCGCACGTTTTGGAACACTTTTCAATGGAAGCATACATTGTTACTTAGTACATTACTTTTTGTTGGTTGAAAATCTTAATTTATTTTTTTATTATTCTTCTAATAGCTTCTTAATGGTGAAAGAATTTTTGAAATCGGTCCAGTAGTTTTTGAGTTATTTCAATACATACAAAAAACGTAGCTTAAGTAATTCTAACTAGTTTGTTACACAAGTAAATTGTAGGACATTACATATATAGATATCTCCATATCAGTTTGCCTTATATTTGTTTATCGGCCTTATATCATTTAATAAAATGTCTCAATTTTTAGACCACAAGACATAGTTGGTGTTGGCCATAAACAAGTGTGCCCACTGGCACCGACCACGCACGATAACAAGGTCGCTACAAAGGTTACTTGTTTCTACACAGACATACAAATCCTTTTATTATTCTTTATTATAATTAATGGCATTCTTTTTGAAAGCTATAGGAACAGTTTAAGTTCCTTGTGGATAAGTCACATCAATGATCATGCTTGTGGTTTAAAGTATTTATTTCTCTTAAGAATATACAATTCACTTGAAGAGAAACATTTTTTTTAACATTTACAATTTACATCAGTAGCCTAGTTTGTTTAACTATTAAGTTTTTTTTTCTTTACAATTTTTTTTAAATTTAAATTTGAATAAGGAAATTTTTCTTTCATCTCTGATAAGTTTAGGTAAAGTATTATATAATTGTACTCCCGCAAATGTTATAGTTTTTACCATAGTATGTTCTAGGTTTTGATAATTTTAATTTGTCTTTGCTTCTGGTTTGGCAGCACAATTACTCTACATAGAGCTCTTTAAAATACCCGGACGATTTAATTGTCTTAAGTAAGAAACCATCGTAAACGAAGATCCCTAATATATAAAGATGGTGGCAACTATTCGTTTGTTCTTACGGCCGCGTTTATTTTGTTGGTTTTAATAAATTGTTTATTGTCTTAGCAACTCATATACTCAACAGTTTATAAGAACTTCCACTGTTCTATGTTGCCCATACTTTAGAAGTTTGTGTCAGCTTTTATGTTATTTTTTCAATGCCCAAAATATTGCATTACTTTTGGGCTTTGTGTCTACTGTACGGTTTGTCTTTTTACATATTCAAAGCCAAAGCAAAATGGTATTGTTTACACATCTGATAAGAGCAACGGTAGTGCGTTGCGTATAATGAGATCGTCGAATGTTTCTCATGTCTGGCTTTCATGAGCGTTACATAAAACTGTTAGTATATCGAGGTCGGCGTGCTGCAACCGCACCTCTCGATTTGTCCTCAGGCGAGCCACTGCTACAATACAACGTGACAATACATTCCATCCAATCTAATTGAGTTGAAATAGTGCGTTATCAGTGCTGCAATGTTTAGGTAAAAGTGATATAGACTTATAAGAAAGAGAATGAGCATAAACTATAGCTACGGCATTATTAAATCTATAGTTAATATTTGCAAAAGAGATAAGCACTACGTTTTGTTAGCTTTTTAACTATTTTGATGTATTATGTATTCTTGAAGGTTATTTAGTCTGTGCGATAAATCAATACCATTTGAAATGACGATAAGCTTTGTAATTGTGATCCGAAACATTATTTAAAATATATATGTCATGGTTTTAAAATGTCGTAATTCTGCTTGTTATGTTAATAATCGGATAGTAGTCGGATGTCAAAAATAAGGGTGTTGCATTAGCTCGACGACACGACGGCCATATGGTAAGGTTATTCTGTGCAAATTGGAAGAAAACATAAGAGGTAATGAAGACTATATTTTATTAAAGCATAACATGGCTGTGACGTCCATAGTTTATTAATAATTAATATCCTATTAACCGTTCAGTTACTTCAATTTTGTTACTTTTACTATGGTATGGAACTTAATAACGCCTTGGCAATTAAATAAACATTAGAAATAACTCAAGAATAGCTGCATAGTAATCAAATGGAATAAAAAACATTTGAATCTCATTAAGGCTACGCCATAACTTTCTTTACAATCAAATAAAATAGTGGTTAGTTTAATTGGTATAATTAGTTTACTAAAACTAAATGTTAAATGCAGATTACGTTATTGTGCAATATTGAAATACATTCGAGCGATGTCGAGCAAAAACTTCTAGTACATAATATAATGAGTATTCATTACATAACGTGAAGATTATGCGAACTTTATGTATTTTAAACTACGTTTTATAACGTACAGTGATATCTAATATGCTTTCGAAATATCAAAGCATATAAAATTAAAACAGGCTAATAGGAGCATTTATAAATATCAAGGTTTTAATATATTGATGTTGCTCAACATATAAATAAGTCATGGCAATCTTAAGCTCAGAGTTTGCTTTTTGTTACATATGATATAGGATTTTAGACACATAAAATATACTTAAACATTAATATAGTTTAAAGCGAATATTACAAAAATAAATTCTCAATTAACAATCATACTAATCATACTAATATTATAAATGGGAATGTTTAGATAGATGAATGTTTGTTAGAGCTTGTAGCCTAAACGGCTGAACGGATTTCGATGAAATTTGGCATAGACGTAGAGTATAGTCTGGAAGAACACATAGGCAACTCAGTTTTTTTTAATTCCACGCGATCGGAGTCGCAAGCGAAAGCTAGTTGGACATATTTTGCTTATCGATTGACAGATTAAATGATTCTTTTATGAATATTACAAATAGAATATTAAGCATGGAATTTGAGGTTAAGTTTAACGAATCGCTTTGTTAGATATAATGAAAGTATCTTAACGTATGAATTGAGTAAAGTAATCGATGATATTATCTTTAAACACCATATATAGAACTTTATGAGTATAACATATTACCTTGGTCCCTTTACATTATATACTAATACCAACACTTGGATAAAAGACTTTTTAATACGTATGAAATCCAAATATGATCTCGTTTTTAATTCATGAAATATACTGTGTACTTATTGCTTACGTCTTATGCATTGTTACTTAACCTTGCTTTACAAACATAACTTTAAAGGTCGACTAAATAATAAGTATAAATATAAATATAAATAATAAATAATAAGTAATAGTACTAATATAAATAAAATCAATCGAATTGAGAACCTCATTAAAACCAGTTAGAGTTACAACTTGAAGTATAGTAGAAATTATGGATGCGTGGATTTAGTTGAAAAGTATAGAAAGCAAACAATAAAATATGTAAGGCAAATTCAACATTTTTTGTATTGAAACCAATGTTGTGTTTGGAAAACTTAACAATGTATATTTAATTGAGACAAACTTTAAACTTAAAGTTAATATTAAACGATGAGATAAGCCATTGTTAAAAGACCTCAGAAAAACCTTACAATGTTTATATAGGATCGGAATGTTTGCAGTAAATATTTAGATATCAACCTACATTAAATTATTTTATACAAATGTCACAGTATCTCCGGTAAAATCTCCTCCGTTTAAATTATTTCTTACTAGCTTTCGCCCGCGACTCCGTCCGCGTGATATTAAAAAAACAAAAGAGAGTAGCCTATGTGTTCTTCCAAACTATACCTCTACATCTATGCCAAATTTCCCATACATCCGTTCAGCCTTTTAGGCTACAAACTCTAACAAACCTCCATCCATTCATCTAAACTTTCGCATTTATAGCATTATTAAGAAGTAAGATTAACTCTCTAAGACTCTAAATAATAGCTATCTATATTCTATTTCTAGTTAAATTATAGCCTAACTAATATTTTCAAAAACCTGGCCTGGGCTCTCTTCAATCTGCTTCTTTAATATATCACTATCTAATGTGTGCAAACAAATTAATTAAATATGTTTTAGCAATATGGCGAGGATCTCTGTTTCTGGTTAGGCTACATAATAACTTATTAACAAATCGTTCGATATAATTCTACAGGTCAGTATTGCGTTATCGTGACTAGGAGACGTGTCGTGTCGTTGTTGTGACGTCGGTGTCGGTCATCGTTTATGAATATTTATTCTAGCCGCTCCAATATTGACTGTACGCATAAATACACAATAAAGGAAGGTTACCACGGGGTTATGTCTATAACCTATTCTAGATGGTTAAACGATGTTTACAAACGTAAGAGTGGGTTTTCACACGAAGCACGGATACAAGATATTATTAACAGATTATAAAGCTCATGTAAAAACGTTGATTCGTTAACAATAATTTTCATTCATGCATAGTTTGTTTTGATGTTATCGGGACTTTTTTCATCGAACAAAGGATGTCGAGACACGTTATTGTTGATGTCAGATTCACATTTACTTGTACGTATGTAATATTTTTCTGCAAACTGAATATAAAAGATATTGTGTGTTGTGATAAGTTTATTACTATAGTTATTTATTTTATTTTATTTGTTTATAGATAACTTACAAAACATAACACACCAAAATAAAAACTGACGGCTAATTATACTTCAAATTATACTATAAATGCGAAAGTTTAGGTGGATGGATGCTTGTTAGAGTTCGTAGCCTAAACTGCTTAACAGATCTCGATCAAATTTGGATAGATGTAGAGCATAGTCTGGAAGAAAACACGAGGAGTCGCGGGCGAAGTTAGTATTTAAAAATATGTTCCAGGCTTAGCTGTTCTGTTTTTCAAAAAATAATAATAATTAAGACGGTCGCTTAGTTCTTTTGTCTATTATGAAACTTTTAATAGCATTATTGGTATATCTACTTATTGGATTTAAAGAAAAATTAAACTAGAAACATGAACAACGTATGAAACTTATATGAGAGTTATTAGTAAAAATGTTATGACCATATATCACAGTGGTGTACGGTAAATAACTGCTACGCGCCTTATAACTGCCACATAACGGGCTCGGGGTTACGCGCGGTAGCTACTGGTTTTCTTTAGATGGTTGATAGTAAATGTTATAAATTTTTTAAAAAGCTTCTGTCCGTAAAGCTATATGTGCGGAATTAAAATAAACAATTAGTTGACTGTTCTTCTAGATACCGTTCGACATCTGGTCTCTTTTAGCGATCTCCGTTTAGATATTCTCCAGATGCCTTCTAACAAACACCTATCCACTCATTCAAACGTTAAAATTTATAATAAGCAAGATAAAAGACAGTAAGATTTATAATTCTTTTAGGTTAATTGTTAATGAACATAGCTGCTTACTTATTTTTTTAATTTCCAATTGCTTTACAACAGTTAGTCGTTGTATGGAAGAAATACAGTAAGTGAAAATGTATGTTCCCAAATAGCTCTATTCATTATTATTGTGTGGTCATTGTCCGTTCATGATAAAAGGATAATATTTGGTCGGTGCAAGATAACAAATGACATCTGCTAACTGGCTGTACCGTTGTTAGATTGCTATCGCTAACTGGGAAGTTGTCTCTTGGCGAGTATTTTTGTAGTAATTTCTTAGATTTTAGATTTAGAACAAGTGACGAATAAACCAAACTTAGAAAGTGAATATGTTAAAAAACTGCAGAATAAGAAAGACAAAATACGAATATAACCTTTTGCAATGCCAAAACCATAATAACATACTAATATAAATGCGAAAGCTTAGATGGATGTTTGTTGGAGTTTGTAGCCTAAGTCTTTTTTTATTTCGCGGAGTCGCGGAAAACCAGATTTTCATACATCTTCTCAAATAACCTTTTTTTTTCGATCATATGCGCTTTAAAAGTTATTTAACGTTCACTAAAGAATCTATTAGTGAAGTATTATAGTTAGTTCAATTTTAATAAGTAACGTTACTGAAATCTGCATTTATATCATCCTTTACGATAAATATATCGTACATGATAAAAATATATTGATGATCGAGTGACGTTGAAAAGATTGCAGCAAGGAAGCGCGTGTTCGGAATCATTAGCGTTGCGTTCTTGCCATATCTACAGGAACTATCGTGTATGCTTAATTGACCGGATAATTGTTTCTTGTTCAGTTTTTGTACTTTTTTCATCAGACGCTGTAGAGTTTATTGTAACTCGAATTAAAACATTTGTAAAATACTAAGTGATTTATTTAATGAGAAATATTATTACGTCTAAGTCAAGTTAACACATACGTTCAAACGGTGACTACACAGACTAAAAAGAATACAATGTGCATATCAATAATCTGTAAAATATATTTAAATCGTTATCATGTAGGGACATACAGTTGGACTAACTGTTGTGGACTAATTGTGGAACTATCTTTATATTTATAACAACCCATACTACACAGGTCTGGCCCAGTGTGAGGAAATAGTAAATAAGACTAGATGTTGGTATTTTTGGAAAGCGATTTGAGAGAAGTAGAGATAATGTATGATAGAACAGTGTTCATTGTTATACTTTTGAACAAAAAAAAATTACAGCTTCACGTTCTTATTGTACATGAAAATGTCTCCAGTATTTATATATTCGAAGAGAAATAATATATTCAAAGTATTTCCTTACTTGTGTTTGCCGCAGCGCGGACACAATATACATTGAAGGGCAAACAAAGGCATTCTCAGGCTGTACTCGGCATTGAGACATTGTAGCGTGGCGAAGATTTTTATAAATAATTTTTATTAAAATTATTTGTAATTAATTAAAAATAAAAATGCAAAGGTATGTTATCCTAATTAATAAACTGATTGTGTCTTTCTAAAGTTTGTCACCGTCTTGAACTTCGATTATTCACTGTACTTCCTATCCTCTCCTACTCATAAAAAAATCGCAATTGATTCGTTATTCGGAAATACTACCACCATTCTAGTCCTACCAATTATCGCTTTGTAAAGTTAAGAGGCAGTAGTTTAACAACATGGTGAACCTTCTTTTGCTACACTGGTACATTCTTTAGCCATCACCACACAACTATGATAGGGTCATGGTCAATCGCTGGTTGTAAAACAAAAGACACTCACGTCATCAGTGGCCATAGTATTGCAGCCCTTCAGAGGCAGCGTGTACTGCAGGTCGCCTTGTGCGGAGATATACTCCCGTAAGCAGGACGAATTGCTGCCCAGCCCGGCGGGGTATACTATCCCGTTGAATGTATCATAGATACTGCAACAAAGACGCATGATAAATCTAATTGAAAGAGTGTGGGCCCTGCCAAAAAAGCCATACCCTGATGTAGAAAAAATTGCATGGATATTACCTTAACATAAAAAATAAATAGCTATTACAAATCAAAAATAGCACAGATAAAACAGAACTGTTTTAAAACCTTACTTTGGCAAATAAGAAAACTAAAGACCTAAACGTCCAGTCCTTTAGTGCAGACAAAAAAGGTACACGACTATTACCTGTTGCCTTCGGGCTCCGTGGACGCGAGGGAGATAGTGACATGCATGTTGTCCCGCTCGCACGCCACGGCGAGCCTGTCGAGTGGCGCCTTTGCGTACGGCCACTCTGTCGTCAAGTCTGTGGCCGTGCCCACTGATGTCCTCAGATCTGTGCAGAAATATATCAGATATACTACGGCTACTTTATCTGCAGATATATGACATACATCTATGTACATTGTCACGTCGTATTATTTAATTTTAATAATGAATTTAGCGAAGTGGTCTCAAAAAGTCTAGGGGATTAGACCATTGGTCTTTTTCGACACAACTACCAGCCAACGACTTCGTAAACATTTCTTAACTTTAACATAATTGAATCTTTCCCAAGTTATAGCACGATATTGTCACCTCATATTAAGCTGCACAAACCTATAAATTATATACAAAGTTCTATTTTATTATTTATTATAATTTAGACGCCTTAAGAAAAGTTAAATGATTATGGGGACTTAAAGTTAACACGAACGCGTTTATGTCTTTTGTATGAAGAGATCGGATTTTATGATACCAAAATAAAAAGTACAAATTGCCTAATTTGCTCGTAATCGTTGAACATTTTACGTTAGTACTAAAATACAACATACAATACACCTTATCCTATGTACTAAGTCATTGTGCTTATATAAAAATTAGTCATGGAAATGTATATTTGCTTTACAAGATTTAATTAAAAGATACGTCAAATAAAGAACACATAACACTTATATTAATTACATTTAGCAGTTACTACTGTACTGTAGCGTGATTGTATTTCCAAAACAATACGTGACTATAATTGCTTTAACGGTTAAAATTGCTGTTCCGTGTACGGATAGTCAATATTTACTGCATTTTTGATCGATCGAACTGATATAAACTACGGAAGTGAAATTATCTACAAAACTACTAAAACTTTGACTTTTAAGAGACAGGATCTGTCTTGCACTAGCGTTCCCATCTGACAAAAAACCGAACCTTAATTAAAACTTGCTTGGATGTGCGTTAAAATTATCTAGTTAGTATCTAAGCGATAACAATTAATTTAACTTAAAACATGATATTAAATATGTCTCTTCTTCGCTTCTCTAGTTTGAAAAGTAACAGATTTTTTTAGTGAAACAGTTGTTCTTTGCCTAGTCCTGTATTGTCAAAGTACTAAAATTACTGACCAAAAATCTATTCAGTCAAGTAACATATTACTTAAGTGCATGTAATTTTGAGCGAAAGTAAAATGTAAAAACTAACATCACGTATACGTAATGATTATGATCGGAACTATGATCTAATTGTTACTAGAATTTAAACTTGCGGCTTTTTTCCTAGTAGCATGTAATATGTTTTACTACAAGGTAAAAGATAAATTTAAATACACTATGATGTGATGGAAATCCCCTATTGTTATAACAAAATAAATATAGTTTTGTTTTTTTGCATTAGGGAGTCTGAAAAGTTCTTCTGAGAGATATAACGGGACTTAGATTAAATATATTTTGCTTTACAGAATATTAGCATAATATTTTAATTGGATAAAACCAAGTGCAACATTCTTGGAATCTCAGGGTACTTCAGAATCATAAAATATGGTCGCATTATACTGACAATTTGTAAGCAGAAACTTGACTTGCTTAAAGGATGCGCGTGCGCAGGCCTGGGGAATAGGGGAGGGGGAGTCATTGACCCCGGCCGCATCGCCACTGGCCACTAAAACGACCATCGGAATATTGCTACATTGTAGCTGTACTTTTAGGAGTGACGGAGTAACGATAAGACGATCATAAAACAAGCTTACAAAGATTTTATAATCACTTTTTAAGAATAACCAATTAGTGAATAAAAGATTTATTTTAAAAGTCAATGTAAGGGCAATTAAAAGTCTGAAACAAAAATTACATTTTACATTAAAGTACTAAGTTATTTTAAGAATTGTCCTATGAGAAGCGATCTATAATTTCATTGAACTTGATGTAATGTCGTATAGTCTGCGCTTAACCTTATCATCAACAAGATTATTATTGAGAACCTATTTTTAATTGTAACTATTGAGAGTCTATTTTTAATCTTTAGATGATTTTGTAAACTCGAGCTATGAACACTATGCTAAGTTAAATCAGAAGACAAAAAATGAAAACCAAAAAACATCTTAAAATCGTCCATTTTCAGAAATAGAGTAGCGAAAACTAAAAAGAAATAAAAAGCAGAAGGGAATATGAATTAGAAGACGGAAATATACTTTTAATCGATATAAAAAATATTATGCTAATTTAAAGAATATATTTTAACTTACCGGTAGCGGAATAAATTTGTTTTGAACGCGCGGTCGACACTAGCGCCACTACCAACAGAAGGGTCCACATGATTCAGTCTGAAACAATGAGAAAAACTTTATGAATAAATAACAATGATTATAAAATACCAAAATCTAAATTTTACACAAGAATTAAACAGGTAATCTATGAGGGTTTTAAAGATGTCTACGTAAACAATAGTTTTTTCAAGACGTGTAAAGACAAGAAAATGATTTTTATATATGTTAAGTTCGCTGTCATATGACTTTAATAGATGTTTGGTTATAACTTCTATATGTCGAGTTTGCAAATAATATGGTATAAACAAATACAATAGTTTTTACATAGGACCTCTTGTGTTCCGATGCAACCTCCTGACCTATGAAGCGTGACATAATGCTTGCATATAAAACGATACTAGTACGTAACACGATCTTGTTACACCGAACGTCATACGTTATCCGCCCTACTACAATTACCACGGTTATAAATACTACTGTCTATTGAAAATAATCGTTATAAATATGTAATTGAGAGTTTTGAATTTTAAAATGACGTATATTTTTGTCTTCAAAAACATAGATGTCTGATTAAGCTTTCTAATTAACTAGCTTTCGCCCGCGAATTCGTCCGCGTAGAGTTAAAAAAAAAACAAAAGTGAGTAGCCTATGTGTTCTTCCAGACTATCCTCTTTATCTATGTCAAATTTTATTCAGATCCGTTCAGCATTAGAGGGTACAAACTTTAACAAACATCCATACATCAAAACTATCGCATTTATAATATTAAAAAAGTAAGATTTTCTATGATTTTCGAAGTTATTCATGAATATTTTTATATTTGTCAAAACAAAATTTGATAATGTTGTTGTGAAATTATGAAATTTTTAATTTGACGTCGTCAATATTTCTTAACAAAAATGTGTGTTTTTTAATGTTTTTATAACAATTAGGATCCCTTCATTGTAGTACAAGAGAGCTAATTTTTAAATTACGTTTCAAGGTCCGCTCTTTATGAAAAATACGTGACCAATAAATATCAGAATAAATCTTTTGGACAAAAAGTGTAGATATTAAACTGAATGATATGCTAGTTTCTTATTTTAACCAATAACTTGCTTGGATGTCCGGTACTTTTGTGCGTTTAAGTTATTGAGTTGGTTATAACATAGGCTATATTTATGATTGATTTATTTAATTCAGCACGAAGTCGTGAAAAAGTTAGTTCTTAATATTTTTGTCGCTTAAAGGAAAGTAGAGCTGGTAACCGGTACATGCGCGTCGAATCATCAATAATATAATTGGAATACAATTCGGTATATAATTTAAAATAAATCTACACCAATACAAACATAACCTAAAAAGCTGTATGGACAAGTGTTGCCGTATCGGATTCAGTTGCGATATGTCAAACCAAACTGAGCGCAGTTACGCAATGCTTGTAGACAAGTGCGCCCCACTTGCATTGCTACTGGCCACTGGAATGTAAACCGATATTAGAAGAAAACAACTGAACAAACTATGAATGTACTTAAATTTAATTTTACTCCTCAGTCAGGTGTTATTAAACAAAATTATAACGCCTATTACCCATAAGAAGAGATGCAGAATGCCTTTAAAGTGAAAAACTGTGGTTCATAGGTAATCTAGCCCTGGTAAAAAATAAACATGTGTATTTTTTATTTATTAGTTTTTTTTTTTAATAGAATTAAGAACAAAATTATGTTTATGGCGGGCATATTAGGGTGATATTGCGTTTTTACTTATCTTTAGGCTATTTATTATCTATCATTAAAACTAGCTGTTTCTCAAGACTTAGTCCACGTAAAACTTAAAAAGATAGCATACGAAACTCGGCGAAAACGTCGCTTTTTAATGGTGAAAGAATTTGAAATCGGTCCAGTATTTTTTGAGTTACTTCAATACATACAAAAATACAAATCTTTCCTCTTTATTTTGTTACTATAGATGAGCAATTATCAAAACTTTTTAATTCTATTTGAATCTTCTATTATATGGTGTTTTCGTTGTCAAGGTAAAATTTTACTAATATTCCTGACTATAACCTTTGTTTATGAGAAGGTGTATAGAGAAAGCAATTGATCAGTTCGTTGGGCAGTTGCGTAACGTGTGCCATTCACTTAGTGCCTGTACATAATCTAGGCGAGCCAGCTGCTTAGGTGTGAAGGTAACTTTATCTTTCACTTAAGCAAACTGAGTATTTTTAATTTGCTGCACAAATAACTAATGTTACACAAATTAGGATTGAAAATGTTAGAATATTTACGCTATCAGCATGTCTATACATATAAATTTGTAGTAGTCAAAAACATATCTTTTAAAATATGCAAAGGTTTTTTAAAAACACACATTATAGTAATTAATTGGGATCTAGGTTTCTTTCTCTATTTTGATATAAAATCATTTCTAAAATATCAGTTAACTATACGTCCCCACTGAGGGGCTTGGAGCCTCCCCTAAGTAAGGGGGTGACTAGGAAAGTCATTAGGTTTGTTAATTGTAAATTGTATATGCATTACATTATGTTAAAATATATCAATCGTTAGTCATACTTCCAGAGATTGGTAAAAAATACTAACAACAAAAAGCACTTTGAGCAACAAATTCTCAAACGTCTTCCTTAGTTAACACATTATGTTGTTTACCCGCGTACCCGGAAGCCGAGTCGAGGTCTGCGGACCGTAACATCAAGGTAAAGACGCACCGACTACGAATTATTATAATTAATGCGTATGACTTCGTAATTACTATATCACGAGAACGACTATGTAATTCCTACTTAATCTTTATATTATACTAGCTGTTCCCGTGCGTATTCATTCGCATAAAATTAAGAAAAGCTTATGTTATTGTTTACATGTGTCAAACTGTCAATTGAAAATGTCAAAATGACAATACATGACAAACCTTGGCAATCTTGCTTCCTTGATATTGGCAGCAACTTATGGTCTCTTTCCCACATTAGGGTTTTTTCCACAATATTTAGCCCCTAAGTTTAATGGCGTGAAAATATATAGCCTAAAGCGTGACCTAAGTGTAGGGCTTTTTATTAAATAAAGAATTATTCAAAAATACGCTGTAATTGCTGACATCTTAGTATAGATTAAAAAAGTTTAATAAATGACATATGTAACCTGTAAATTACGTAACAATATAATTCGATCAATTCGTAAACTAAGTAACGACTTAAGTTGACACTTTTTTAATCAACTTTAATAAAATATAAGCTGTTTTTTCAGTTAGTTATCGTTTTTTCCTAAAAAATCAATTTTTACAAAGGAGTATTTGAATACCCCTCATATTTTTGTAAAGTATCGTTCTTTACATTATTAGTTATATCGATAATTTATTTTCAATAAAAAGTTATGATCTTATTTATCAATTTTCAAGGCTTACTTAACTCTGTATCTAAAAAAATATTCTAATAATAAGTTACATTCAATTCAATAATAAGATACGTAATTTAACGGTGTGCTGTTTCTTTTCTATTGTCCACGTGTTGTAATACTGTTTATAATTGTGTTTTATTTCGCGGTTGCTGCGGTTTAGCAAATGCTCCTAACAAAGAGAATGCCTAAATAGCGTGATGTGACGACATCGGATAATTTGCTAATAAAATATGTGTGAAGTTGTCTTAAAAAGTTTGAATACTAATTTATTACTAAAATACTTTTAAAAAACTATAATTTCATTGCAGGAACATATCTATGACGACATCTTACTTCTATCTAATATTATACATGTGAAAGTTTTAATTGAAGAATGGGTAAATGTTTGTGATTACATAAATTTATCATGAATGTAGAACATAGTACGGAGGAACACATAATTTACTCTTAGGTTTTATTTAAATTTAGCTGCTTATGTATGTAACATCTGATAATTTGTAATAACTAGCTTTTGCCCGCGACTCCATCCGCGTGAAAATGAAAAATAATAGTAATACGTAATACGATTCATTACAAAATGTTACTACAGTATGTGATGAGTACATTTACGGTATGCTGTATAAAGAAATAACCTCAAGAAAGTGTACCATCGAATTTCGGTCACATCTTTACATAAGACATGGTTTCATTGATGACTTTAAAGTAATGCAGTATGACCTGTTATTGAGTAACTCATAAAGGCAATACAGATGCAATTTACTTGGTATTTATGATGTAAGATTTTAATTAAATGACTTGTGACTTACCTTTTACCATGGGGTCAAATTACTGATATGCTTAAACAGAATTTTTTTTATAGTATGAGAAAGATAATAAGATGGGTCTATCTATACTAATATAATAGAGAGCAAAGATTTGTATTTTTGTATGTATTAAAATAACTCAAAAACTGCTAGGCCGATTTTAAAAATTCTTTCACCGTTAGAAAGGTAATTTATCTGTGAGTAACATAGGCTATATTTTTCCATTTCTTTATTATTATTTTTCATTTTCACGCGGACGGAGTCACGAGCAAAAACTAGTATAATCATATAAACTGTCTCTCTTATACTGTCTAACTGTCTATTTCTTAGGTTGTAGTAGTGATCTACGAAACTATGTTTTAAAATCACATTCTATAATTAAAAAAATCTAGTGTTATTCAAAAGTATAAGTCATCTAGTTTACTGCCACAATCAGTCTTTATTGGTCCCTAAGGGGACAATTATCGCAGATTTGTCATACTAAATCTACACCTAGGAAGGTCATTTAAATATTAACTTACTATTCAAAAAGTATTTCGTAATGTGCAAAGAAAGCAGCCCAGTTAATGCAACATCGGGCAAGTCAATGTCATTAGAGGCTCGGTAATAGTTGACAGGTACTGGAGCGCTTGTACGCTCGCCCAAATATTGGGAATGTACAGGCAGGGGCAAAATAACGTTTATTTATTTTTATTTTTTATTGATAGCTGAATTCGAAAGAAGTGTCAAATAGTGATAAATCGTAGAACAATGTAACTTAGTGAATGGATTCGTTTTATATGCATTTTGCCGATTTCTTATATTTTTTCGAAGCATCAAACCGGAAATGTTCACAGTTTGCTGTTGGCAAATTACTATATTTCTT